TGGTAGAGGTTGAATTATTGATTGTTTTTAAGGAATTAGGTATATAGTTCTTAGGGCTAAAGGTGATCAAAGTTTACTGGAAGGAGGAGGAAACAAAATGCCGAGATGAATGATTAACCATGATCATGCCGAGTGACAGAACAGGCCTGAAGGGGTGAATGGTCTATTGCTGCTCCTATTTTCTAAATCTGTGTTCCTATGTGCTATTAGCAGGCTTACAATGAGACCTGGAGCTTCCTCTGCTACTCAGAATTCACATTCCTCACTAATTTCCACCAATTTTGTGTTGTGTTAACCACATTTGCACCATCCAGCAGGATTTTACAAATTTTCACAAGTATATGACAAAGTGTCAGTGTAGCTTTAAGACGATTTGTTTTCCTCTAATTTTTAGATTACCTGGGGGAGGCAATGGTCTATTGGTATTATCACCAGACTCGCTATGGATGCAATTCCAGGATTTTGACCCAATGACCCTGAAGGGACAGTGATATATTTCCAAGGCAGAATGGTGAGTAGATTGGAGGAGAACTTGCAGGTGTGGTGTTCCCACGTACTTTATTACATGGTCATAGATTTGGAAGGTGCTGTCTAAAGGAGCCTTGATAAATTTCTGCAGCGCATCTTATAAATAGTAAACTTCTGCTCCTTACGGGTGGTGGTGGAGGTGATTGATATGGGGAGGTGATGGCCTAGTAGTATTACGGCTAGACTGTTAATCCAGAGACCCAGGAAATGTTCTGGAGACCCAGGTTCAATTCCCAACACGGCAGATGGTGGTATTTGAATTCAATAAAAATCTGGAATTAAGACCCTGGTGATGATCATGAAACCATTGTTGATTTTCAGAAAAATACCTAGTATTGACTACACATGACTCCAGACCCATAACAATGTGGTTGACTCTTAACTGCCCTCTGGGATGGGCAATAAATGCTGACTTAACCAGTGAGGCCTTAACCCATGAATGAATAATAAAAATTCAAGCAAGCTGCTTTGTCAAACTTCTGGTGTATTGTTGAAGCTGCATTCTTTCAGCAAGTGGAGAAGATTCCATCACAATGTGGCCTTGTTGATGGTGGACATGCTGTTGGAGTAAGTCAGGTAATGAGTTACTTGCTACAGGATTCCAAGCATCTGACCTGCTCTTGGAGCTTCTATATCAACATGGCAAGTCCATATCAGTTTCTGGTCAACATTAAACCCCACAAGCCCGCCCAACCAAGCGTGTTGATTGTGGCGGATTCAGTAATAGTACTGCCATTGCAAGACAAGGCTCGATGGTTAGATTCTCACCTGTTGGAAATGGTCATTGCCTGACATTTGTATGGCACAAGTGTTACTTGCCACATGTCAGCCCAAGCCTAAATATTGTCCAGATCTTGCTGCATTTGGGCATGGGCTGCTTCAGTATTGGAGTTGTCATGAATGGTGCTGAACATTGTGCAATGATCATTGCACAGCCTCACTTCTTACTTTATGATGGAGGGAAGGTCATTGATGACAATGACCAGCCTAGGACACTACCTGGAGGAAGTCAAGGAACTCCTGTACTGCAGTGGTAGCGTCTACACCTCTGAACCAGATGGCCTGGGTTCAAGTCCTACCTGCTCCAGAAGAACATAGTTAAATCTCTGCATAGGTAGGTATTTCCTAATCAACCTTAAGGAGCTCCTGCAGAGATGTCCTAGAGCTGAGAAGATTGGCTGAAAAACATCATTTTTTTGTACAGGTACAACTTCAATCAGCAGAGAATTTCACACCCTGATTTTCAGTAACTCCAGTTGTGCTAGATTTTTCACAATGACCACTAGGAAAGTAGCTTCCAGTCCTTTTGTGTCACTTTCACTTTAAGGCAACACATTTCTGCTATGTAGTAATCTTCCAGAAAGCATGTTGATAAAAGGGTAGAATTCCAGCTCATGTTCACACACATTTAGTCATTGGTTCACTTTCTTATCCCCAAAAACTAAAATGTCAGCATGTTATTTTTCTATTCAACTCATTTGAATGTGTTATGACACAGCAGTTAACATAATGTGTGTCAGTTACTCCCCTTCTCCCATCTCATCCAGCCCATACAGGAAAGATTTGGTTTTAAATACAAATACTGGATCTGATGATGTCATCAAAACACTGCCATCAAATGTGAACCACAGGCAAAAAGGTGTTGGGAACCAAATCCCGGAATTGAAGAAGTCCAGGAGGTAACTTCAGCAATTAATCTTTCAGATTCTTTCATGTGGGGGTCCAGGAGTGTTCCTCCAGGCCTCAAGGAAGCCTTGGGTCTGTTTTGAATTGGGTATCCTGCTCACACCACCAATTTCTAGCTGCCATCACCAAACCCTCTAAACGGAACTCTGAACCCCTTCAACAATTAAAGAGATTAGAGCTCATGCCCAACTAAATTCTAGAGAGATCATGCCATTATGCTCAGTAGGAATGAAATATTTTGCTGGGTTCCCTGTCCTCCCCAGGACCCATTCAGCAACTCCATTCGAATCATGAGCAAAGTCTATTACTAATAATATCTGAATAAATCTCATAACAATTCATGGATCCATCTCAAAACTAAACAGTGACATGAATTTTAACAAGGTGGTTTATAAATGCCTTGGTGAAGTTGGATGTAAAAGCTGGATTTTCCCCATTTTCTGTGGAGTTCAAATTCCAACCACATACCATTGCAGAGTTAGCAATGCTACTTTAGACTTACACCACTGTCAGGCAGAATACAAATAACTCAAAGGATAACACATTAAATCCCAGACAAGGGTCAGGGAAGGCAGTGTGTGACTTTCAGATCTTCGACTCAAGACAATCACTTCATCATGAAACAATGTAAATTCTGAAGACTATTCCTGGATATCGAAATCGTTCTAGAATTTAAAAAACTCTACAGAGCTTCAGGATTCATTGAATCAAATACTTTAGTCATATCAACAAAGAAATTCTGGTGTTGTTGTCAACTCTGTCTTTGGATTTCTGTGCTAACAAAGACCCCAACGGATGTTCCTCAGAAAATCTAAAGCAACATTGTGTTTCTGGTAGGATTTTCTCAACCAGAGGAAGTAACCAATTCAGAAGAACGTATGTTATATTTTTCCTGATATGAAGAAGAGGGAAGCACTTTGATAAATCATTGTGGAAACTCTCCTTTCTTGAAGCTAGTTACAACTGTTGCCTTCCTGAAGTGCAGATACTAGGGAAATAGCCTGGAGAGTTTTGGCCGTCACTGTGGAGGCACAGTTGACACATTGGAAGAAATATTTCTTCCAGCATTGATGGATAGCATTGTCAACCTCAAAAAAAACACCATCCTGCAAACTAAGGTAAGTCTTTCCATTTGACTTTGGTCAATAGTGGCTCTCGTGGGTTCAAATTAAAAGTTATGCATAGGATGATAGCCAACAAATTATTGTATCTCAGGCTCACTTCAGACTAAATGCCTATTACTTGCTAATTAGCATCTTACCAATTGCTCTTTGAAATGCATATGCCTAATAATCATCAACACTGATCCTATTAAAATTTAATCAGACCTCACCTGATATTTGCAAATCCATACTAATGTTCTTAAAATCAGACCTTTCTGAAGTTGGATTCAGGACATTAACTGGGCTTGAGGGCTTTGAGGCTGCCTTAGAATTCGGAGTAAGCTATATTCCTGCTCTAACAGGAACCTGCTAACAGCTCTCAGAGGTAGAGACAATTTTCAAGCCTTGAAATGGGGTTGCAGTGGGGAAAAGTTTGGGAAGTATTGCCTTACATGATGCAAGTCTTTCCATGCACGTGTTAACCATATTTCATCATTGCAAATTTCAGGTAAATTCTGCCACACACTCTCCTTGTTTTGGGTCACAAATCACCACAATATGAAGTGATAATTAAAGGCATCTGGCTGGGTATATGAATAGGAAGGGTTTAGAGGACACGTGCCAAATGCTAGCAAATGGAACTGGGTCAGATACGGATATCAGGTTGGTACGGATGAGTAGGACCGAATGGTCTGTTTCCATGCTGTATGACTCTAAATGGGCTGTCACTTGTATCTTTGATAGTCGGAGCCTCAGGAAGTGGCAGAGGCAGATTGGCCAGGGGCTGAAGACAGCTGCGAACACCTTCTTCGCTTCATTGTTAGCACCCATGTCCTGCATGCCACTATCAGACAACATGGGAATCATTCAGGGAGCCTCTTTATCTCAAGCTTTGCTTACTTGCCATGCAGCCCCTCCCGCATTCGTGACGAGGAATGGCAGGATTGCATCGCTTTGACCCGACTTAATTCAACTATTCTGCTGTGTAGCCCCTTTTGGAGCGTCATCGGGTAGGGGCACTTCATTGACATTACAGCAGTTGCTGCCCTCCTCACTGAGTCAGAGCTGACCATTTGTCATGGTGGGAATGACAGACGGAGGCATGTACCAACTGTAAACATTTAAAGGCGAGTTCAGTTCAGATTTGCAGCGTCGATGTGTCAGCTCCAAACGATTCAACTGGGAGAGCCTGGCAGCGAAAAGAAACTCATGCAGGACTGGCATGTACCCCCCCACCCCCCATCACAAGGTGCTGCACCGGCTCCTCAAATAACGGCGCGCACCATCAATCTCACTCTTAGTTTGACAAGAAAAGGGAGGAAATAAAAAGTGACCCGATGTGGTAAAGGAGACGAATCTGAGAGCTAGTTTGAGGCGGCCTATTTGCACATCCTTTGCAAGCCTTTTCCTCCAGAGAGGTGCCCATTTTCACATTGTGTGAAGAATGATGAAGCTCTCTATGTATCTCGGTGTTAAGTGGCTAACTTTCGTTTCTATACCGTGCGGAAAGTTACCGTGTCAGCAAAATAAAAAAGCTGACCGTCGTGGTCCCAGTTTCTTCAACATCCTCACCGACCAGAGAGGAGACAGCCACAAAAACCGCACGCGCGCCCGCCCCACTTGCTCGAAGACCTTTCCAAACAGAATTGCATTGAACAGAAAGTGAATTAGAACAGAACTTACTTGGTGACTCCACCTTCCACGTAAGTGGTTTTGTAAAAGCCGACCAGCGAGCCAAGGAGACTGCCCTCGAACTTCAGGGTGAGGTGATAGAATTCCCCGGTGCCGGTGGCGGGCAGCTCCTGCTCGGCTTCGAGCACCAGGTACTCGTGACGCTTGTACTCGAAGCAGCGGCGCAGAGGCAGCGGGCGGAACTCGGACGAGTTGCCCGCCAGCTGCAGGCTGGGTGCCTCGGTCACCCGGGACGCCTTAATGTGCAGCCACAGGTAACGGGTGGCTCTGGTCGTGCGGATGTGGATCACGTTGGTGCCCATGTAGAACCCGCGCTCCAGGTCCGGCTTCAACTCCAGCTTGTAGTGGGTCGGCTCGATGTAGTCGGGGAGGCGAAAGTTATCCCACGGGCCACCCGACTCCAAGCTGGGGGGGCAGGGCCCGGGAGGCGGCGTGGATGGCGATGGGGAGCCCGGGCTGACGGTGGTGCCACCTCCGCCGCCGCCACCATCGCCGCCGCCGCCCCCACCACCATCGCCGCCGCCGCCACCACCACCATCGCCGCCGCCACCGCCACCACCACCATCGCCGCCGCCACCGCCACCGCCACCACCACCATCGCCGCCGCCACCGCCACCACCACCATCGCCGCCGCCGCCGCCCTCCACTTCACATCCGTCAGTCCGATTGCTGAGACCCACTCCCAGCCCCACGGCCAGCCCCACAGCGACCAGCAACCCAGCCACGATGACCGCCACCCATTTCCAACTCATGCATCTTCTTTTCTTCGCCACCTCCTCGTAATCCAAGCTTTGCATTTGGTCCTCCTTTTGTCCGGGCGCACCCCCTCCTCAGAAAGAAAAACACACACACAACAAATACTGCGGTGTGAGAAGAGCACTGTCGAAGTTTCTCCCTTTGAAGAAACTTGGTCTAGCGCACTCTGTCCCCAGGATGTAAACACCCGAGTTAAATATAAATCTGCAGCATGTTAATGAGCAATGAAAGCTTCGAGAGGTCATGACAGTATCTCCCCCAACCAAAAGGGAACTGCGAAACAGCTTTGAAAATTGGCTTTCAGATATGCAAATACATTTGCCTATTTTATTTTGTATGTTAATGATTCACTTCGCCCACACATATTCTAGTTTTATTTTTACAGTTTCAGTTTTTGACCTTAACCCAAACTCAACCCTGGTGGGAGAAAGGGACGTAAAATGAACATTCACTTAAGATCTGGTCTTTGTTTTAAGTTCAGGATGCGTTGATTTCTGAATATAGCGCGTTTCCTTACTGTGTGCCTGAAACTGAACTGGAACAACGAGCGACTGCACATCAAATCAAGATAACTCGGGGTCCAAGAAGGTTTCAAATGGCGTACTTTAAGATGCTACCTTAATATGCATTTAACACGTCCTGTTCTAAAATCTTGAACTGGACAGCATAATTTCGCAAAATTAAAGTCCTATTTACCATTACTTGTTTGGATTTCACTGATTGCTCAATATGGAAGGGAATGTGTCGAACTAAACCAAATTGGATAATGATTAGTAACCTATCTCACCCGTGCCCAGAGTGTTTTAGACTGACGTTGGATATACGAACCATTTCTGATTTCCGACAAAGCAGTGGTTTGTTGCTAATGAAAGACAATCGGAAAGAGATATCGAGATTAGCACCAAGATCTGTGTGGAATTATTCAAAATTAAGGTGTTTAGTTGACCAAAAGTTTAGTTACTGTACTACATGTAAGGCTGCTAATTAGTGTCATGGTGTGCTTTGCATTTTCAAGGGTAATTGAAACTTGTGAGCAAAACTTTGTCTTAGGTTTATTTCCACCATGTCTGTTGATTTATGTACCAATTCTGACAATTTTCTCAGCTCCAATTCCTTTACTTGTCTCTAATATTACCGACATCCTTACTGCGTACACCTGCATTGTCATTTCTGCTCTCATTTGTAAGCATCAGTGCAAAATATTTAATACTTAAAGCATACTTCCATAGCCCAACCTTCATCACTGAGCAACTTTGCTCTTTTTGAAATAACCTTTTACTTCTAATACAACAATGAAAACCATTTCAAGTTACCTGCTAATTTCTTTTTTACTTGTTCCATTTTAATTCTTCTTTATGCAATTGCTTAAGTTCATTTGATATTTTAGCTTTAACTTTACCATTTACTTCACTTTCAAGTTGCAATTAAGATTTAACTCTCCACAGATGCTGCCACACCTGCTGAGCTTTAACAGCAATTTCTGATTTTGTTTCTGATTTACAGCATCCACAGTTCTTTTGTTTTTTTATTTAGATTTAGCTACTGTTTATCCATATTGTATTGTATCCAATTGCATTGTTACACCGTCTTTTTGACTTATTTGATACTTTATTAATTGTGTACTTTGAAAATTTCTTACCGTAATCGATGGACGGGTGTGCTAACTTTTCTGCTTGGATAATTTGTATCTGATTGCTTCCTATAACATTGAACTTTGTTTTTTTTCATTAAAAGCACTTTTTTTTATCACCTTCATAATCTCTTTCCTTCACAAAGTCAGAGCTAACAATGTTGCGATCACTATTTCTCCAATGTTTTACAGCTGTCTTGTTCAATATTTATCATAACTAATTCATGCATTGCTTCTTTCCTTGTTAGATTAGTGAAATGCAACAAACCATTTTATATGTGTTCTAAAAAGCTCTATGACCATGATTCCGGGATGTCTTGGGATAGTAATGTAGCAGCCTCATGGCTGCCAAAACACATAGATTACCAACTTGGCCAAACAGCAAGGGATGTTGGGTTTGAGACATGTTGGCCAAGGAAAGCTCTGAAAATTGCAAACCCGGAAACCAGACATAGTGCAGACACAGCAGCCATGTGCTAATGGTATTAGAATAGTGTAAAAGGACACATCTCATCAACAGTTATTCTGGACAGACATATCCCCAACAACATATCAACCAAACAAAGGAGGAGTGCATATTTTCAACCAAAACCAGACAGAAAGGCACCCAGGCCCTGCTATACAAAGAAACAAACATTAGCAACCCATCCAAACAATCGACAATCATTAAGCGTGTCTCCCTGATTGGCCAGAACGAGAGAAAGTTCCAGAAAACCATCCAAAAAAGGTTTAAAAACAGGGCCCACCTGCACACCATTCTCTTTGGACTTTCTGGTGATGAAGAAGATGCAACTGGTATGACAAAAGCAAGGACTGACTGACTGACTGACTGACTGACTGACTGACTGACTGACTGAC